ATATATATATGCTCCGTGCAAAACGAAGCGGAGACACCGTTTCACCGCTACCCTGTTGATTTCTTGCCTCTCCGTATTTTCTCCTCATCGAGTAAGCAACACAACAGTGCAACCAGCATGAAGAAAAAAAGCAGCGACAGCAGCAGCTGGGGTAGTGACGACCAGCCCATGAGGAGCAAGCAACGGCTCACCAGGAACGCGTCTCTGTCGAAGTGGAGCGTGTACACATGCACCGTGGGGTGAGATATGACCAGTGGTTTCGGCTTCTTGAGTGCAGAGTCCCCCAAAGCCCGAGCAGTAGAAAGCCCAAATGTGCGGTTTCTGCGGGAGTCTGAGGAAAGCACTCGCCAGATCCCCTGTATGGACGCCACCTGCAAAAACAAATAAACATAAAAGAAGAAGAAACACACTTAGAAACAGAAACACAGAAAAAGAAAGTGAATCAAAAGAAAAAATCACAACAAAGGCGCACACGCCCCAGCCTGATGACCGTTGGTAATCAGCGCCGTGTGTGCGTACACCGCACGATACGACAGTCGTCGCCTCCGTGCATAGTTTTACACTTCTTACGGCACCAAATATTCTTTACAGAGGCATGCATCGTCCCAACGAGTCCTGTGGAGGCCCGAGGTGTGCTGCTAACTGAAACATGAAATACAGAACCCCCTGCGTATGTTTTGTGCACGACAGTCCCTGTATAGGTGCATGCATACACAGTATGCAGAGTTCACGTATGCATGCAGCTGTGTAGCCGATCCATCTCGCTTTATTTACCTGCCCCCCTGCGGCCTCGATGCGTTTCTTTTCGCTGGGGGTATTCGGCTTATGGTCTTCCGTCAGGCGCAGCGCAGCTCCGTCTCTGTAGAGACAAAACAAAGAAAGGAAAAACTAAAAAAGCGATGGATATGCAACAACAATTTATGGTGTCCGTACACCTGAAGGTTGCTCGGAGCCACCCACGTAATTTTTTGCTGCTGTTGCTGGGGTGTATGTCTCAGCTGTGGACTCGAAATGAAGCCGTATGTGTGCAAGCAAAGCCTTAAGCAGCAATACTGCAACGGGGTGTACAGACACACCGACAGAGAACAGCTCGTGAATCCCCTGCATGCGCTGTAATCAGTTTCAGAGCTCCTTCTTCGTCAGGCCCGAAGAAGATCGCCACGCAAGCAGTGGAGCCCGCTGGTCAGCAGAAGCGCAACAGAAAGGCAGAAACAGGAAACATGAAGACGCACAGGAAAACAAACAACAATAAAAAGAAATATACAAAAGAGCAAACGTAAAAAGCAAGAACAAACGCAAAGAAAGAAGAAAGGGAAACGAAGAACAGGGAGAATGAAGTATATCATATTTCTGCACAAAGAGAGCTTCAGTCAGTCATGCAAGCAACAGCGGCAAACAAACAAATGCAGCAGCATAAACATCCCGCCAGTCTCGCACTCGCCAGAGCGACAGGCAAATCTGCCTCGGGAGCACTGTCTGGCTTTGGAGCTAAGAGGTAGCTAGCTGCATCACGAGGCAGCTAGCTGACTAGCCAGCTAGCTGCCTGGCTAGCCATTGGTGAGAGCGCCGCCTATTATGTAAGGGGTTTCGTCGCACCGTCTTGTGTGAGGGAGTTGGATGTTAGCCCGAGATAATTTTTGTCAGTGATTGAGAAAGCGCTGAAGCAGCTGCGGACGAGGGCTTCGACCTCGACGGACATCCGCTGCTCCTCTGGTCGCAACGGCTCGTTTGTTTTATTCAGCTGCTGCAGCAGCTGCATGTTCCCCCTCTGATCCCGTCGCCGCTGCTGCTTTCCAGCTGCTGTCTCTTCCTCGCGCTTCCTCTGAGCCCCAAACTCCGCAGCAGCAAACCCCCAACTCTCAAAGACGAACGGCACAATATACCCAGAGCTCTGGCTAGCTAGACTAGCTAGCTAGACTAGCTAGCTAGTCTAGCTCGCTCGCTTCCTCCTCACCTGCACAGTCCTGTAGACCTGGCGGTAGCAACTCAGAAGGTTTTTGTGTAAATGCGCTGTCGCGTAGTCTGCACAACTGGCAACACGAGCCGTACGTACACCGCAGCAAAAACAATTAAACCTTTAGCTCACAGAGGGAGGAAAAACAATTACAGTAGAATGAAAGCCAAAAACTACAACGCAAAAAATCATATATAATAGTAGGTAGGCACCAGCTTCTAGCGTCTCCCCTTCACACCTATGTGTGTACACCTCATGCCTGCGGGCATGTACACCCCAGTACAGAGGCAGATGCAAATGCTGTATCTGTAGCTACAGCTGGAGATTGTCCTTTTGCCTCTGAGGAGAAAACACTTTGAACGATACTGAACAGGGAGAGATTTCGTCTCCTGTGTTGTGTTTCCACTCACTCTGTTCCCGCATGCCCGTCATATATAGCAGAGAAATAGCAAAGGCCCTCAGTGCTGCCGGCAAAGAAACCCAGAGGGAGGCCTGCGCGGGTGATGAATCTGTCTTCGCATGTATCCTTGCCTTCAGCCGATCCCTACAGTTCAACAGAGAAACGGGGGGTTGAAGGCGGTGTTTGTAATACAAAGAGACAGAAATACAACTCAGCAAGAAGAGTGCAGATGTATAAAACATCATACATATATAATATATATACATAGAATATTATAATATTATATATGCTCATTCTGTCTCTATCTGAAGGTGAAACTATGTTTGCTGGGATGCTCGCTCTTCACCTTCTTCTGCGCTGTTGCCGCGTCGAGGTCATCCTCGAGATCCAGCATGAAGTCTGAGTCATCATCAGACTGCAAATCACCTTCTTCTCCTTCTTCTTCTTCTTCTTCTTCTTCTTCTATCTCTCCTGTGCTGTTGTTGCCTTGGGAGCATTCAGCGCGCTCTTGGTGTGCATCTACGGTAAGAGCTTCGCTGGCTGCTGCTACTTCAGTTGCTGCAGCTTGCGGCTGTGCAGGCAGCAGAATGTTTCTTTCCGAGTGAAAGTAGACTTTTTCACTGGGGTTGCACAGCCACCCACTTGCCGTGTGCGCGAACCACTCCCCTCCGTCTGCAGGCGTCCAGCCCAGACGTTCAAGTTCTGCTGTCGCTGTGCGGAGCTTTTCCGCCCCTCCTTCTGCTTTTTCCCATGGAAAAAACGGGGGAGACACCTCTTCAGTCCCCATGCTTAATGCAGTTGTTCTCAGAAGCCGTCGCAGATCACGTCGGTGCCGTCAGCGGAAACTGCAGCGCAGCAATCGGGAAATACAATACCCAAAACAAGCACGAAGGTGCCCATACACCCCAAGAGGGAACGCCCGCTGTACACCGATGTTCTTTATTGCATGTTATTCTGCTCTTTTCACTGCAGGTGGAATCAAGTTAACTTTTGTTGGCGACGCGTGCAAATAACGGTTCTCCTCCGCGTGATCCGTTGTCTGTATAGTTCAGCTGCCGCCTTGATTTTCGATACAAGCCTGCAGAATGAGTGGCTCTGAAAACATTTAAAAGGAATGGCTGTGATTGAAATGTGGAAATTTGATCTGTACAACATACGCAATGATCGCCGAATAGGATAACCGATGCAGCCACAGTTATGCACAAGACGTCCAATCCAGTAACAGCAGAACACCTGGTGTTAAGGAGAGTTTACAGCAATTAAAAACAATTAAAAACAATTAAAAACAATTAAAAGCATGTTCAATGTTACATGTTCCTAACCTGTCTGCGTAGCGAATGCCTGAGATGACTGTGACATCGCCAGTCCCGTTCGTTTTTGTAATAGAGGGGGCCCCGTCCTCAACAGGGGTCTTCGCCGGTCAACAAAAGCGCTCGTTCTATTAGTTGAACAACAAACATAATAACACCAATATATTATTTTGTTTGTATATTAACGGTTTCTTGCATTTTAACGGTTGTTTCCGCGTCACGAGTCCGCGCAGGTTCCGCAGCGAGATGTCTTCAATCTTTTACAATGTTGCAACTCGAAATGCCTTTTGCGTAGAATGCAGTGAAACCTAAGTTTCGGCAAGCCTCAGTGACGCCACGAAAGTGTCGTTCAGGTGACCTCGAACACTTGAAAATTGTGAATTCTGAATGTTATGCGGCACGGTAATCCAAGAGGAACTACTTCATGATGCAGGCCTTTACACTGCACGCAAGGGGACAGTTGCCACTGCAGCTCGGGGGTCTTTTCTTTGTCTCTGACATCTCCTGAAGCCCCCAGATGGCCTGGGCCCAGAAGCTCAGGGGTCCGGGGGCGCGGGAGACGTTGCGGCCTGGTACGATTTGCAACCCAAATTGTTGCAGCTAGTGTTGCATGGAAACCCCGTATGCAAGCACAACCAAGCCTCCTTTACTGCATGCACTAACACTGTTGACGAATATTAAACGCATACCTGGTCCTCTAGCCAGCAATAGGGGGTTCGTCCGAAATGTTCAAAACTGTGGCAGTTCCTCCCCGTATGATTTACTTTTCACCCAGTCCAACGTGCAGGTTGGACGGTGCGGCGAAGAAAAGGAACAGGAGGGAGTTCCCTTGTGTAGTCTACAACAAGGGTATATTGACGTTTGTATAGATGCAGTGTAAAAATGCATATTCCCCAGACGTTCAAACTACATATATACAAAGCAGTATTCATAAATTAGGACCCTATATTGCAACAAGAAGTTTAGTTAAGTCCATTTCAGAGCTCGAAAATATGAAGGCAAGACACGCCCTACTTCACGCTTGAAGTTGAGCAAATCCCACAGGCCTTCACTCCTGAACACGGAAAGCAGAAGCTTGCCAGATGCCTAATGCCGGCTTCATAGACAGCAAATTACTTTGCTTCTATGTAGAAGGGGTTGCCCAAGAACTCCACTCGGGCAGATACGTTGCACTCCTTGCAGCCAAGGGTTTCGAGCCATCTTATACCTGTGCCCTGGGGAGGATGCATATATAATATGCAACGAAAATGCTTTGGATGCTTCACAAGCAAACCAAACCTCCCAGTATATTCTCACTCGAGGTTCTTTCACAGTCCTCGCTGTCAGCGGCTCCTGTAGGCACGCCACCACAAGAGCGGCGGCGCAGTCCCAATGAAAAGTTCCAACTGCAAGAAGCACCCCTCCTCTATTGTTTCGTGTTCGGAGATTAACTCGGGCCCTCTGTAGAAGCAATTGTTCTTCGCTCCAGTCGACTTCATGCATGTGTACAATATGTAAATACGCAGGGTGCTCTTTCCTTTTCTGTGCTACAGGGTCCCCCGCTGTGTCGTGAGGCGATTC